TGTATATAGAACAGCCAGTTGTAAAATGAAATGACCTAGGCTGATGGAGGCTTCTTAAGCATCTGAGAAAATAGCTCACTGTGAATGACTGATCCTGGATCTGCTGAGAAAGCTGCTGACGGTCTGTTCTCATTCTCCTAGATTATAACTTTATATTTATTTCTACATTCTTATTTTTGGAATCTTCATTTTTCTTATTCTTGGACTCTTCAGACAAATTTCTTTGCCTTTTGCACTGGGATCTGCATGTGGAGTCAAATGAGTCAGGCCCTCCACACAGCAGCCCCACCAAGGGACTGGAGGGCATACAGTGAACTGGTGCACCTGCTCTGCTTCTGCTTCCTGCATTGTTAAACCAGTGTTGCGCCTGCACAGGGTGCCTTTTTCCTATCTTAAAGATTGTTCTGTTTCCCTGGCCGGAGAAACAACCCAGGTTTAGTGAGAAACTGATGGCTGAGTACAGCTCTGTTTCTTGGGGTTTTATTATTTGTGTTGTGTTTTTAGACAGCACCTCAAAAAAAGAAAAACTGCATTTCTATAAAACTGAAAAAGTGGTCACTGTAACAGCACACACTAAATCAGAACAACACAGAGATGGCTGTGCAGCTTCTGTGCAAGGATGACAGTTTTTGCTTTTAGAGATAGGGTTTTTCTGTGCAGCCCAGATCACATGAAATTCTCTTGTAGATCAGGCTGGCCTCAGAGATCTATCTGCCTCTGCCTCCCCAGTGCTGGGATTTAAAAGTGTATGCTAATTACCGCTCAGCTTTTTTTTTTTTAAAGAGTTTTTATGTATATAAGTGTTTTACCTATACGTGTTTGTGTGTTCATTAATGCATGATATTTTCCTAAGAATCTGGGCATGATCCCACTTACCTTCAGTCCCAACACTCAGAAGACAAATACAGACAAATCTCTCCGAGTTCTGAGCCAGACAAGGTGAAACTCAGTCCCCCAAAAAAATGTCTGAACAAGAGAGGAAAAGTCAGCCTGAAATTATAATTTCACTGGCATTTTGGCCAACACACCTTCACAATATGTAGATTGTCCATGTGTACTTTAGTATGCCAATGGGCAAAGTTATAGGTTATCTGCTGGGGACACTTTTCCCTCCAAAGCGGGCACCACACACACCACCACTCTTCTGACCAGTATGACGACCTGATTCTTTCTCCTTTCTCATGTTAAGATAGAATCCTAAACAGGCTGGCATATATGGAGTGTGGATGGCAGGGGCATTAGTAGTCCATGCTTTTAATAAATGGTACCCTCTCAGGCTCGAGAGATGGCTCAGTGATTAAACACTTGTTGCTTTTGCAGAGGTTGGGTTCCCAGCACCCACAGGGCGGCTCACAACCAACTCTAACTGCAGTTGTAGGCATTTGATGTTCCCTTTTACCGCTGCAGACACCAGCCTTGCCCACGGCGCACTCACATACTCACAGTCAACTCTCACATACATAAATAAATCTGAAAAACTTAGCAGCGTCCTTTTGAACGTATCCACATTTCGCTTGTCTCTTTCTGCAAGCATCCAGCTGTGTCTGATCCTTCTCATCTGTTTCAGTCTGTTTCTCCTGCTAGGCATGCAGTCTGCCAGGAGCTACGTGGCAGCCCCGAGTTTTAATGTTCAAATGGGGATCATAGGAGGGCTGTGATAACATGTTTGCAAAGCTCTCAGAAGAATACCACTCCAAAAAGTATTATATACCCTGCCTCATCTCTCTGTGCTGGGGCTGGGAGGAGGGGCTGGAGGAAGGTCAGACAGGAACTCCAGACTAAACCTCTGCTTCTGACCTGAGGGAGGAGGAAAGGGAAACCTCCAAGTGGGAAGTGGGGGATGAGGCATTGGTCATTCAGCTGCTGGCTGGATGCCTGTGTTCCCAGCACTGAACCAGGCCTGGGTGGGAGAGGCAGTTTCGAAACTCTCCATCCTCAGTTGAGTAGGGAGTTGAGATCAGCGGTGAGACTCACATACAATGGGGCACTTCTCGTGTGGCAGAACATAGCTGATGGAGGTCAGGGATAAGCGTGAATACCAGGCAGGAGCAGTAAGTAGAGCGAGAGATGGGGGCTGGAGTTTGTAGGTGTCTAAGGACCTAGCATCAAGATTCAGGGTCTCTGTTCCTCCTCAGATGTGGGAGGGCTGCTGTAGTGCACACTTTTAATCCCAGCACTCGGAAGGCAAAGGTGGGTGGATCTCTCTGAGTTCCAGATCAACTTAGTTTACATAGTGAGTGCTAGATCAACCAGGGCCAGTGAATGCTGCATAAAAACAAAAAAGAGGGGCAGTGGTGTGGCCCACGTCTTTAATCCCTGCTCTCAGGAGGCAGAAATAGTTGAATCTTTGAGTTTGAGGCCATCCTGGTCTGCAGAGAGGGTTCCAGGACAGTCAACGCTACACAGAGGAGCCTGTCTCGAAAAACCAAAATAAATAAATAAAAAATCAAAAAAGAAAAAAAGACCCTCATTATATATTCCAGGCTGACATCAAAGTCACAGAGATCTACTTTACTTGTCTCTGCCTTCCTTGAGTTAGGATTAAGGTGTGATCCACCAAGCCCCATGTGTTGACTTTTTAAAGTTTGTTTTATTATTGTTGTTGTTTATGAGTGTGGATACACGCCACAGCTGCTTGAGGAGGTCAGAGAACAATTTTCAGGACTCTGCTCTCTCCAGCTGTGGGTTCTGCAGACCAAGCACAGGTCGACGGTTTGTACAGTGAGTGCTTTCACCCACTCCGCCATCTCGTCTACCTCTGCCTCCTTTATTTTTTCTCCATTTTTTTGTTTTGTGGGGTTTGTGTGTGTGTGTTTGTTTTTAAAAACAGGGTTTCTCTGTGTAGTCCTGGTTGCCCTGGAACTCACTCTGTAGACCAGGCTGGCCTCAAACTCACAGAGATTTGCTTACCTCTGCCTCCTGAGTGTTGGGATTAAAAGCGTGTGCCGCCACCACCTAGCTGTTTTTCTCTATTTTTTGAGATGGGGGCCTTATGACTCTAAGGCTGATTTCACAGCCAGAAATTGGTATGTAGCCAAGGATAACTTGAACTTCTTGTCTCAAGTGCTGAGGACACTGGCTGTACCGCCATGCATGTGTTTATGGGGTTCTGGGGACTGAACCAGGGCTTCCTACATGCTAGGCAGTCACTATAACTGAGCTACATCCCCAACTCTTTTTTGTTGTGTTTTATTTTGAGGCAGGCCTTGAACTCCTGACCTTCCATCTGTGTCTCCTGAGTGTTTGGAATTATTGGCATGCCCCTCACCTCGACAGTTGCTTTGTGTGTTGTCCTCCTGCCCCTGATTTATGTGCTCTTTCATTTCAGCTTCTCAACCTCCGACTAAGTAAAGAATCTTAGAACAAGAACAAACCGTATCGCTGCTGCTGAGACCTCACCTTTCTGCCTGCAGCTCTGCAGAAGGACTTCCATCCCTTTGAGAAGAAAGTGGGATAGTCACACACCCTGTCTTCATTGGCCTTTAACCTAACTTCTAATTCCCTGAGCCAACTTTGATCACATTTACCATCTAATCTTTAGTGTTGGCAAGTGTGGACATCTGAACACCGCCCTCTGGAGCCAGTGTTTTGGGCTGAGGGTGTTGAGAGGGTACTGAGGACTGAGCAGCCAGGGCTGTGTGCTGAAGTCACCATGTCCACTAAGGTCCCCATTTATCTGAAACGTGGCAGCCGCAAAGGCAAGAAGGAAAAGCTTCGGGACCTGCTGTCCTCAGACATGATTAGCCCACCACTTGGGGACTTCCGTCATACTATTCACATTGGCAGTGGTGGGGGTGATGACATGTTTGGGGACATCTCCTTCCTGCAGGGCAAGTTCCACCTCCTTCCAGGAACGGCAGTGGAGGAGGCCGAGGAGGATGGCAGCTTCGACCTTCCCTTCCAGTTCACTCGCACTGCCACTGTGTGTGGGCGGCCACTCCCTGACGGACTGTCACCTCTGCTCAAAAACGCCATCTCCCTCCCTGTCATCGGTGGTCCCCAGGCTCTCACCCTGCCCACAGCCCAGGCTCCACCTAAACCTCCTCGCCTGCACCTGGAGTCACCACAATCTTCTCCACAGTCCTCCCCGCAGGAGGCAGGAAATGTGGACATCTGGAGGATCCCGGAGGCCAGCTCCCCCCACAATGGCATGAGCCCGGAGCCAGAGGCTGAAGAGCCTTTCCTGTCCCATGCCAGCTCCCTGCTGTCTCTGCACGTGGACCTGGGGCCATCTATCCTGGATGACGTCCTCCAGATCATGGATCAGGACCTGGGCCACGTGCAGATCCCCACATAGGACCCTTGCTGACCAGACAGGTCACCGAGGCTGTGGTGACGCCTAGAGACATCTATGGACATGGCCCTGACCTAGGAGTCAGCGTCCCAGATCCCACCCGTGGGTGCTGGTCAGTGACTGTGTTTTGAGCCTTTTCTTTCCTTCCCTCCTCCCAATGGACAGAGGACACCTTTGCTTCCCTCTAACAACATCCGCAGGGGACCATGTCAGATTTGCCCCAGATATTCCTGAGCCTCTTAGGTCATCTGGAGCCCCACTTCCAATAGTCCCCTTTCCCTCGCTGAAATGGACTCTACCCCTTTTCCACTGCCCTCCACCCCAGCATCAACGGATACCCACCCATCTCTCTTTGTACCCTGGCCTGGGAGCACGTTGTCTGTAACCAGACTTGGTATGCCTTGTGTCCTGTCCCATCCCTTCTCCACATGACCAGGGGATTCTGGTTGCAATAAAACATGCTGCTGGTGGTGGCTGAGCATCCTGTCCCCTTGTCCCAGGCTTCCTTCCAAAGGTGGGCCAGTTAATGTTGGCTGTTCTTACAGAGGACCTGGGTTCAGTTTATGTGGATTGAACCCAGGACTTCTTGCATGCTAGCTTGGCACTCTACCAACTGAGCTACATCTTTGCCCTTTAGTTAATGCTATAACATAGTTCTTATATTGCAAAAGATTGAGATGAACCAGTAAGAGAATGGACACAGGAATAGACAGAAATTCTGTACTTGGGAGTGGGTGTGATAATCAGACTTCACGTTTTCTAACAAAAAGAGAGATGCAATATACAATCAACCCTGTGCATCATGGGTTCTATAATCATGAATTTGGCAACCATGGGTACAATATAGTACTGGACAATGGTGGCGCACGCCTTTAATCCCAGCACTCAGGAAGCAGAGGCAGGCGGATCTCTGTGAGTTCGAGACCAGCCTGGTCTACAGAGCTAGTTCCAGGACAGGCTCCAAAGCTACAGAGAAACCCTGTCTCTAAAAGACAAAAGAACAAAACAAAATTACAGGGGACTAGAAATATGACTCAGATGTTAAGAGAATTGGCTGCTCTTCCAGGGGGCCAGGTCAATTCCCAGAGCCCACAGGGCAGTTCACAATCAGCGGTGACTTCAGTTCTAGATCTGATGCTCTTCTTCTGGCCTCCCCCTGGCACCAAGCACACATGTGGTGCATACCTGCAAACAAAACGAAGCTTAAAAATTAAAAAAAAATTGCACCTGAGGGCTGGGTGAGATCTCGGGGGTTAAGGCACCCGAGGGCTGGTGAGATCTCGGGGTAAGGCACCTGAGGGCTGGTGAGATCTCTCTCAGGGGTTAAGGCACCTGAGGGCTGGTGAGATCTCGGGGTAAGGCACCTGAGGGCTGGTGAGATCTCTCTCAGGGTAAGGCTACTGCTGCCCTTCTAGAGGACACATATGGAATACATTTACACACACACACAATTTTTTCTTTGCTTTTTTAAAGACAGGGTTTCTCTGTATAGTTTTGGAACCTGCCCTGAAACTTGCTCTATAGACCATAGACCAAGCTGGCCTTGAACTCAGAGATCCTCCTGCCTCTGCCACCTGAGTGCTGGAATTAAAGGCATATACCACCACCACCCATCTTGAGACTCTGTCTCCAAAACAAAAACCAAAACAAATAAAAATTTACAAAGACGGTGTACCATAGTGTCACTTGACATTGTTGGCTGTCCAATAATTCCTCTTTGCACTTTGGAACTTCCTTTTGATTATGGTATTTGAGGGGCATGGTACCTAACCTAGACAAACTGAAGAGGGAAGGTCCTAGGCCAGGCAGTGGTGGCGCTCACCTTTAATCCCAGCACTTGGGAGGCAGAGGCAGGTGGATCTCAGTGAGTTTGAGGCCAGCCTGGTCTACAAAGCAAGTTCCAGGACAGCCTGGACTGTTACACAGAGAAACCCTGCTTTGAAAAACAAAAACAAAACAAACAAAAAATGGAAAAGAAAAAAAGGGAAAGGTCCTTCCTTCTACCTCTAGCTACCTCGATGTAAGGAGATGCCTTAGCTCGATGAACAACCACTCTGATATGGCAGCCCCACATGTGGCTGGTGTATGACACGGACTTGGGCACCCAAGACAATAGTGTCCTCTTCCAGTGGCTCCTCTAGCCTCAGCTGAGGTCTAGAGTGAGGCTGGATGACTAAGGATGTAAGGAAGGTGACTTTTTTTTTGCTGCCTTCCCCTCAACAGAAGAGAGGCTGCCTCAAGCGCAACAGCCCTTAGCTCCCTGCACTCTGCACCGTCATAGGCTCTGCCAGGGCCTGCAGCTGACACTTCATGGATGTAGTAGCCACATGGAAGCTTCAGGGTCCCATTGAGTCAGGGTGCCTATAGTAGGTCTGCTGTAGGAATTCCTGCAGCCGGTAGCCTTTAAGTTACCCGCCTACTTGGGCGAGGCCTCTTATACTATTTATGCCGATATAAAGTGCACATCTGGCCTCTTTTCCTGTTGTTGTTCTCCATTCAGCAGAGGATTGTGCCTTGTGAGTCTACCCCTAAATAAATAGTTCTGAGCTAGTAGTGTGGGATTTCTTTTACGCATCTGTTGCAGGAGGTCCTTCCGCCCCTCCAACCAATAGCTGCTGTGATACCAGCCCATTGGGGCGTGGTCTCTCTCCCTTTAAAAAAGCAGCTATTTCCTCTGCTCGCTCTCTTCACTTCCTGCTCCGCCGGAGACTAGACTCCCTTCCTGGTTGTGCAGATGGCTGTTGTCTGGGACGGTGATCTGTAAGTTTTCCCCTTTAAATAAATAACACCCTATTAATCATAACTCCAAACTGGTGTGGCCTTGTTCGTGACTTACGCCTACACGCATCCTTCTTCATCTGGCGCCCCACATGGATTCAGACTCCACACCTACAGGGTGGACAGCCTGAGGGCCTAACCAGTCCACAGCCCAGAAAGCCTCCCAACCCTGCCTGCTTGGCTTGATTTTACCTAAGCAATTTTTTTTTTGTAAAACCCCTGCCACAGCAGAGCTAACTGTGTCCAGCAGCTTGCAAATTTCCCAAGCTCGCGAACATGCCCCCCCCCACTGCTGTGTTTCTTGCTTTGTAGTGTCACTTGTGCAGCTTCCAGTTTGTGCTCCCTGACCGAAAGTGCTGGGCTTATTGCTCCATGTATGGAATTGATTTAATTGCTTTTAATTTGTCAAGCAAAGCATATTTCTCAGTATTTAACCAGTACCAATTAAAATTAAAGTGGCTCAGGACCAGTCCTGTCACCACTGGTTGCATCACTGCTAGTTGTGACTCTGCAACCACGACACCTGCTGGACAATAAAGATTATTACACCTAAAACAATTTACCGGATCTCATAACAGGTAATTAATAAATCAATATGGCAGACTACATTAACATTGAAACATTTAGTAACTTTTTTTTGCTAATACTATGGATTGTATTCTGCAAGGCTTATATGGTTATGGTGATACATCATTTAATACATATTGAGACTCATGTTTTTTCTTCATATTATATCCTTAAGAAAGAATGAAGCACTTTTAGAAATGATACAGTCTTTACAGACTAATAATGAACACTAGCTGACAGGATTAATACCATCGAAAATCAAAAGTTACCTGAAAAAATTAATACTATTGAAGAGGGTAACATTAATTTGACAGACAAAATTGAACCCATGTCTAAGGGTATTAAGAAATCTGAAAGAATTCATACTGTTGAATTTGACAATCAAAATTTGTTAAAGGGGCTGGAGAGATGGCTCAGAGGTTAAGAGCACTGGCTACTCTTCCAAAATTTGTTAAAAAGTTATAATAGGTTAGCAGATAGAGTATCTCTCCAGGAAGACAATCTACAGACTATCCAAATAATGTCCAAGGATGAGATGTTCTCTTTAACAGAAAAACTTCAGACCTTGGAATCACATGTGCAGAATGAGGACCAGAGGCTAGGTGCCTCAATTAAACCACTAGAAATATATACAGGCCAGGAGATTAAGGCTGTACAAAAGACAGTAGTAAAAGGATTTGAAATGATTGAGGAAATTATTGGAGCTGATGAACAGGGAAAGGCACAAGGACAGGATTTAACATTGCCAATACCTGTCAGAGATGATTTACCTGGGGTTTTAGCTTCCTACCCTGTAATCAACTCTAAAAAAGCATCAAGTTCTAAAGGCCCCAAAAGATCCAAAGAAGGTAGATGGATACCTATAGGAATAATCTAAAAGAAATTAAGCAAGCTGTCATATAACTTATGGCTTGCATTCTACATTTGTTAGGGAGATGATAAAGACAGGGGATTCTAGCATTAAGGCAACACCACATGACTGGCTTCAATTAGTTTCAGCAGTCCTGGACGATGGGCCTTAACTGATGTTTAAATGTTATTTAAGGAAAGAGGCTAAAATTTTAGAACAACAGGGAAAAGCAAAAGGACTTGAGACTTTCCAAGATCAAATTCTTGGAGAGGGCACTTATGGTGACCCACAGGATCAAGCTCTTTAGTATGAACAAATCTTGTCCCTATGCCACAAAGCAGCCTTAAATGCTTGGGACAGGATTCAAGAACTAGAAAAATGAATTGAATCATATGCCAGGGTTAAACAGGGCCAGAGAGAACCCTTTAGTGCCTTTTTACAAAGATTAACTAAGGCTTTACAAATAGGAGTAAAAGAACCAGATGTTAGATGAATACTTACTGAATCTCTAGCTTTTGAAAATGCCAAATTAGAATACAAAAAGATACTTGGGCCTTTATAGGTTAGATCAGCACCTATGGATGAATGGATCCTGCATACAATGAACATTGAGACATTTGACTATAATACTGGATCTTGGGTAGGAGAAGCAATTTCCAAAGGAATGAGGAGACATCAAAATGCCAGATGTTTTAATTATGGTAGATATGACATCTGATAAGGAATTGTAGACAAGAAATTTCTAGGAATAATATCTCCTCTGGGAATGGCAAGAATAGGAGGACTCAGCCTTCAGGTATATGTAGAAGGTGTGGCAAAGGCTGACATTGAACCAATGAATGCAGCTCAATAAAAGACAGACAAGGCAACCCGATACCATCAGGGAACTCCTTGAGGGGCCTCCCACAGGCTCCCAAGCCAAAAATGGCTCAGTCATTACCAGTCACTGTGGAGGACATGTCTCACCAGGAAAATTAAAAAATCCAGAGCCTTCTGTAAAAGACCATACTGTTCTGGGTGATGGCATAAACATGGAGGATAAGTCAAAAATTCCAATAGGAAATAGGAAACGTATGTTCTGGCAGACTTCTATAAATGATCAAAGACCAAAGTTAAGAGTGTATATAAATGGCATTGTAAATGTTGGTTTGATAGACACAGGTGTGTATGTAAGTATCATTACTCCAGAATCTTGGCATACAAATTGGCCTCTTCAAGAGACAGATGTTCAGCCGGGCAGTGGTGGCGCACGCCTTTAATCCCAGCACTCGAGAGGCAGAGGCAGGCGGATCTCTGTGAGTTCGAGACCAGCCTGGTCTACAAGAGCTAGTCCCAGGACAGGCTCCAAAACCATAGAGAAACCCTGTCTCGAAAAACCAAAAAAAAAAAGTATCTTGTATCCCAGTCTTTGGGGTAGGATTACTCGCCTACCGGCGGTTTTTCCTCTGTTCACTGGACCGTGGGGAGAGTGTGTATCCAGCTCGATCTTCAGGTGTGGACTTGGGGATTTGTGGCAGGCCCCTGGCTCCTGGGTCAGTTAGAGTCACCATAGTCTTTGGGGCTGAAGCCACCTCTTTTGCTGTTTTACTGGCTGGGCTGTTTCCCAACTGTATAGTTCTGGAGCCTTTTTAACGTCCGGGGTAGTGTATTATTGACAACTTTGTGCCCCCCTCCCCATAATGCTTGTAGGCGATTCAGGATCTCCTGTTTATTTTTAATAGTTTTTCCTTCTGCTGGTAGATAGCCCTGTGGATGTGGGCTGTGGCAAAGGCATACCTACTGTCTGTGTAGATGTTTAGCTTTTTGCCTTTCCCCATTTGTAACAGTCTTTGTATGGGCTATTAACTGCCTTTTGTGCCGAGGTCCCCTGTGGTAGGGGCTCAGCCCATATTGCCTCTGTAGTCATTGTCACTGTGGCCCCCGCATACCTTCGTCCTTTCTGCGCATAACTGCTGCCACCTGTGAACCAGGTGACCTCCGCATCTGGGATGGGAACATCCTTCAGGGCGGGTCTGATGCTGTGGGCCTGAGCCAGTATCCCAGAGCAACCGTATAGCGGTGCCTCTAAGTCCAGATCTGGTAGTCGGGTGGCCGGGTTTAGGAGAGTTGGAACATGGAAGGTTATTTGGGTAGGGTTAAGCAGTAGTGCCTGGTAGTGGGTCATTCAGGCATCGCTCAACCACCCGTCTGGGGGTTGCTTCAGCACTCCTTCCAATGCATGGTAGGTCACAATAGCCACATTTTGACCCAGCATTAGTTTGTCTGCATCTTTCACCAACAGGGCCACTGCAGCTATGATATGGAGGCAGGTTTCTTTGTTTGTTTTGTTTTTGTTTTTGACAAACAGGCTACTGGTCGCCTCCAAGACCCCATAGTTTGGGCAAGCACTCCCTTTGCTATCCCCTTGCTGTCATCTACAAACAGGAGAAAGGGTCTACTCACATCCCAGCATCCCCAGAAATCCTCTAACTTGTGTGGCCAGCTTGGTTTGGGATCTTTAGCAGTCTCTTCATGGGCCTCAGACAACCATTTCTGCCCTTCCTTAAAAACATATCACAAATAGGTTACGTGTCGCTGACAGCTCTGAGCCTTCTCTACTGATGCACTTCCTCACGACAGTCCGGCGGGCACACCGGCACTGGCCAGCCGAGCCACTGGTGGATACTGGAGGTGTGTCAGTCTCCGTGATATATGGCCCAGCGTTGACCGGACCTGGCTGGTGGCTAGTCCTTTGCTGTCAGCTCTGCGTGTTCTCCCAGAGCCCACAGTTACAGCTCTGTTGGGATTGCTTCTCTTGTAGTCCACATCAGCTTTGACTGAATGAAGCTCAACAATGTGAAACTTTAAAACTCAAGACTTCACAGATTATAGTAGAAAAAGAAATGGCCTCAACTTGATCTTACCTGAGTGACCCAGGTTGTTTTTGCTTCGGATACAGCTGTTTAGTTAGTTGTGCTACAAAGAATTATTTTCTGAGAATCTTAAACTTAGAACGTTCAAACTCAGTAGATGATGTAAAGACAGATAAACATCTCAGTATCCTTCTATCAGGTCCCTCAGACTCTCAGGCCTTTTCTACCATTTGCTATTTACACTCCTGGTAACACTACTAGTTAATTTTGTTTTGATACAGCTTTATGAAACATCTCAAATTGAAATTATTTTCTGTAAATAATTTCTGGGTACCTCTCTGACCTTTCCTACCCAACTCTCCCTTCTTGCTAGTCAGCTAGGCAGGACACTGGTGCTCCATCTAGCCATCTCCGTAGCCTCTTCACCTACCTTTCTGACCAGACCCCCTTTCTGAGGCTTCTCTAAAAGCGGCGGCTCCTCCAGACAGCGGCAGAGCGCGCGAACGTCTCCCGTTGCGCATGCGCCCTAGGCGCCCTAGGCTTGTTCCCCAGCTCGCGCTTTCGTGGGCCACTGCGTGCGCGCGCACCCTCGGATTGCGCCTGCGCAGAGGGTCGAGGACTGAGTGCCCCGAAGTAGGCTTAGCGCCTGCGCGTTGCGGGTTTCGGGGCCTCCGGCCTGAGAGAGGAGCAGGGAAGATGGCGGCTGTGGTGGAGAATGTAGTGAAGCTGTGAGTGGTCTTTTTTTTTTTTTTTTTTTTT